AACAACCTTGCGAAGATACTCGTAAGCTTTTGAAAACTCAGTTGGATCCAATAACACAACAAATCAGTAATTTCAGGATTGGTAAAGATGGCTCCATTATTGTTGCGTGTGCAACAGGAGCAAATGTAAGTTATGTGAAAAATGGTATTGAAAGCAATCTGGGTGAAAAATATAGTGCTGATGTTCCCACTTCGGTGCCAAGATTGAAAATAGTGGGCATGAGCGATCAGTTTTCCTCCGATATCTTCATTGACTACTTAAAAAGTCAAAATGAAGACATCGCTATCAATGATGTAAAAGTAGTTAAAATGTTTGAAAATCCACGCTTCATTTACAACAAGTTTAGTGTTGTGATTGAAGTCGATGTCGATACGTATAAATGTTTGTTATGTGCGAAAAAAGTAAGTGTAGGGTTTAATCGGTGCTCGATAGTTCTCGCGATGAATGTTTTGAGATGCTTCAAATGTGGAGAATTTGGGCACAAGAGCATGGATTGCAAAAATTGTGAGAGAAGCTCTAGGTGCAGCCAACAACCCAAAACGTCGGAGTGTACGTCAACTGTATTGAAATGTATTAATTGTTTGAAAATGAATAAAGAACGTAAAATGAACTTGGACGTCAACCATGCCGCATTTAGCTCGGAATGTTTGCTCTATAAAAGACTTTTTGCGTTTGAATAAATAGCAGCCAAGTTCCAGGAATGTGAATCAATTCCATTTTTTGCATTTGAATATTGCGGGGTTTTCAACAAACTACGTTGCATTACGTCAGATTGTTGAGGAAAAACATCCTCTTTTAGTATTACAATCTGAAACTCATATTGTAGAAACTGCAGCTTTTTATCAGTATAGTATTCCGAGATATATTGTTGCTGCTTGCTTATCACATTCTGGACACACTGGCGGTGTTGCTATTTATGTCAAAGAATCAGTTTAATTCAACATTTGTACCAACGAAGTTATTGATGGCAACTGGTTATTGGTCATTACAGTTGTGCGTGGCATGAAGATGGGTAATTATGGTGTTTTGTATCATTCTCCCAGTTCTAGTGACCAGCGTTTTGTTGAAATTTTAGAGAACTGGCCCGAGACATTCCTTGATTCTAGTAAATTAAATATATTGGCTGGTGATTTTAATATTAATTGGCGTGATAACCATAATTCGAATCATTTGAAGCGTTTAGCTGAGTTTTTCAATTTAAAGCGAACGGTAAAAGAAAAAAAATGACCAATGTCTTAGACCATGTTAACGATAACGATAATTTTGTAAAATTGAAGTGCTGGAGGAAATATTTGCAGCAAGCTGTTTCGAATCTTGTTGAGAGGAGCGTGGATTTTCCATTCGCGACCGGTTACTTAGATGAATCTACAGCTGTCCTTGAAAACGTGTACTAATCAACTTGTTGAGCAAAAGTTTGTTTCTTTGAAAAACTTGAACAGGTGGTAGGGACAAATGGTACAAAAAGATGTGTAGATCAAATAATGACAATCATTGGAGTAAGTACACAATCGCGCGTAATAAGTATTCACAATCGATAAAGAAAACTCGTTGTGAATATGTTCAAAGGAAGATTGATCTTTGATACACAAAGCAAAGAGTTATGGAAAATTTTGAAATCTTTATTAAAACCTAGTAATTGCAAACCGCGGTCCATCACTTTTAATGGCACATTAGATCAGTCAGAACAAGTAATTGCAGCTAAATTTAATGATCATTTTGTCGCCTGTGTTTCATTGATTATTCAATTCATTGAATTTGTCGATGAACCTGACGAAATAAACCAGCCAGTTAATAATAGTTGTAGATTTGAAGGTTTTCACCCAATTACATTAGATGAACTTAGAGTTATTTGTTTTTCATTAGGAAAATCGACTGGAGTTGACAATGTTAATGCTAGAGTTATTCAATATTGCTTTCATGTCATTGGCCACATCTTTCTGGACCTTATTAATAAATTATTGCAGAATGGACATGTGCCACAAATTTGGAAGGAATCTTTAGTGGTTCCTATTCAAAAAGTTGCTGGAACGATTGAAGTCGAAGAGTTACGTCCTATCAACATGTTGCACACATTAGAGAAAATATTAGAACTTGTTATTAAAGGCCGGCTGTTGGAGTATTTAAATAGCAATAGTTTGTTGATACCAGAACAATCGAGATATCGGAAAGGTCATTCTTGTGAAACTGCGTTGAATTTGGTGTTAGCAAAGTGGAAAGACAACGTGGAGCGTAAAGATACGATTGTTGTTTTTTTTTTTTTTTTATCTGAAACGCGCTTTTGAAACAATTTCTAGGCCCTTACTGTTAAGCACAATCAAGCGCTTTGGAATTACGAGTACTGCATATAAATGGTTTGAAAGCTATTTGTCTGACAGAACTCAACGGACTGTTTTTAACGATTCTGTTTCCAGTCCTGTGGGGAATAACCTTGGAATGCCCCAGGGAAGTGTATTAGGGCCCCTGTTATTTATTATGTATATTAATGACTTGCGACGTGTTTTACGATTTTGCGACATTAATGTTTTTGCAGATGATACTGTGTTATTCATTGCAGCTAAGGATTTAGATGATGCCGTTTTACACTTGAATGAAGATTTGCGTTCTCTAAGTAGATGTTTGAAGCATAAGCAGTAAATTGAATATAAGTAAAACTAAATTTATGGTAATTTCGCGGAATCGAAGAAATGAGAACGTCTGTGTTGTAATTGATGATGAGACTATTGATCGTGTTCGGGAGATTAAATATCTTGGCGTGATTAATGATGATAAAATTAAGTTCAACTCTCACATTAACAATGTCATTAAGAAAATTGTCAAGAAGTATGAAAGTCTATGAATATTTTAGGTGGACAAAAAGGCGAACTAAGAGGTGGACACCTGAGCTTTTCCTTATTTATATCGCTGTGAAGCAACTGTAAACTCTAGAGGAAATTTATATCTGTAACTGAAACCAGTTCGATTTTGTTTGCTAACTTGATTATAGTGTCATATTTAATTATCTTAAAGATAAATCGTCCAGCTCAAACCTTTGTAGGGGTTCGAGGTGGAACCATCATCATCATATATATATGTACTCTTACTTCAGGGGCTAAACTAGACAAAGTGTCTTCCGCTTTACCAAAAAAATTATCATACGTATCCTTATGAGTATTGTTTGGAGGAAAGTTTACCGAAGCAAAGACATGTGTTTCACCTGCCACTTGTGTTTTACCCATTCATGCTCGAATTCTTTAAATTTAGTAGCCATGATGATTTCTGAATTCAATTCGGCCAAAATCGCTATTAATACTCCACCTCCTGATCTTTTTCCAGACCATTGAAAATTACGGTCGTCTCTATAAACGTTATAATTTTTACCAAAAACTTCTTCACTTCTTACACTACCATCCCATCTTGTTTCATTAGCCATTATTACAGAGTAAGTATAACTTAATAGATGATTGAAAATTTCATTAATTTTACCGGCGTTTCTCATACATAACATCTTGCAATCATCCAACATTTCGGTAGTGGTCTGAAGATTAGGTGAAGAAGTGGTTCATAAAATTATCATCAAATTTATTATGTATTGTTTGTCATACAAGTGTATTCTTCGCACAGGGAGCCTTCCATTCATTTTGGATAAAAAAATGTTTTATTAAATTATGGAATAATAAGATATTATAGTAGTATTTTGTTTGTGTAAGCAACAACAAAAGACTGTGAAGTTTGTGTTTGACACATAATACCTGCCAATTTTGCTACACAAGTGTCGCAATAAGCGATTTTGTCATTTAGCTCACCCACTCTTCGCTCTTCACTCTTCGCGAAGCGGCGATTACTAAATCGCTCATTGTGACTCTGCCAAAGCTAAATTTGCAGGTTTTATGCGTCAAACACAAACATTACAATCTTTTCTTGTTACGTACACATACAAAATATCATTATAATATCTTATTATTCTATAATTTATTAAAACATTTTTTTAGGCAAAATGAATGGAAGGCACCCTGCCTTCGCATAATAGTAATATTGTAGCACAATTATCCTTAAATCTTAAATGAGCTATAAATAGAATCTAAAAGTTTCCGGAGAAAAAAACTCATCCCAGCATCAACCGAAACTCAGTTTACCGTTATGTTATTCTTGGGGAAATTGCTTCAGCATTACTCGTCCCATCACGCTATCATTCTTCCACCAGACCCGGAGCACTCGACCAATTTCAATAATTGAACAGTAATTTTTATGCTCAAACCGGCTTCCCTCCACACCGAGACTTGTTCAAACAGTCTTCCCAAAACACCACCTCGGCGTGCGCGCAACGAAGACTGCCCAGCAGAAACCCTTTTTTTTCACACAGCATTCAGTACTGAGGACGAGTTCGGACGGCTAGCCAGCCAACCAGCCACTATCAAAAGTTTCCTATATCTTGCCTCGCCAATGCAACCACCATCGTTTGTATTTTTACGACCCTCCTTCCCGTAGTCCACCTCTCTCTTCCAATGATTCTGGAGTGTGTCATCATCGTAAAAACAAGACCGTCCCGAACTCGTAGCGCCATCAGGCCCCCGGTGCAACCAGAGGAAGGCTTTCTGGTCGGTTGCTGTTTTTATGACTGTTTTACAGAAAGATGCGAAACAACCGAACATGAAAAAAAAACTGTCGAACGAGACGCCAACCAGCAAAAACCTACTGTCCCTGTTTGGTCGTCGTAGTTGATGCTGTTGTTATAATAGCCGGGTATAATTTATTGATAGTGGACGACAAGTTCGTAGGTTCGTGGGCGAAAAACGGGCATGGCAGCGACGGTAAAGACATGAAAAACTATAACTTTTATGGTGTGTTGGGAAAAATTGATACAATCGATCGAACTACTACTACACATTGGCCATTTATTTCCCGATCGAAGATGTAGAACAGTGAGAAATTGGTTTTGCCATTTGTTGGACCCATCGTCCGGTGTGAGGAGGTGACTAACGGGACCAGTTGTTCTGATGTTGTTCTCAATTTCTCCTTTTCAGCTGCACCGACCTTCATCATCAAACCTCAGGATCAACGAACGAACCTGAACGGAGTGGCCACCTTCAAGTGCACGGCTTCCGGCAATCCTCCCCCGTCAGTCTTCTGGACCAAGGAAGGGTCCCAGACGCTAATGTTCCCGAACAATACCTACGGGAACATCCACATCTCCAGTCAAGGTTCGCTGCAGGTCCGAGGTGCCCAGAAAGATGACGATGGATACTTTGTTTGTTCGGCACTCAGTGTAGCAGGATCGACTACCAGCAGAGCCTACCTTCAGGTATATGCACCCAAACGTAATCTCAACATCTCACTAACCCAAGCACATCTTCTTCCAAAACAATAGATCACCAGCTCCTTCGACAGCAGTCCACCCCCGTTGCTGCAGGTGGTCCCGTCGAACCAGACCCTTCCGAGAGGCAGCATCGCTATGCTACCTTGCCGGGGTTCCGGTCCGACCAGTCCGAAAATCTACTGGAAGAAGAATACCACCGACATCACCGCCCTCGGGTCGCGCTTCTCCATCATCCAAGGGGGGACGCTTAAAATTGATGGTAAGTACTTACCTACCTCCGTGCCGACCACTTTGTTGCATTGCACTGCACACAAACCACTCCGGGACTAGCATCAACGGATCGGAAATTGCCGGTTTGCATGACTGAATGTTTGACTGACTGGTCCGATGAGATCGGTCTATTAGAGCAACAAGTGGTTAAAACAAGAGCGATTTGTTTGCGGACTGCGCGTGACTGTGGCTATGTAGATTTGAGTATCGATGGGCAGTTTTCGAGTGACGGAACCTGTAATTTAAAATTGTTTAGCTTGGTTGGCGAACTTTGGCTGAGTAAAAGATTGCCGAGGCACGCGATAATCGCAGGGTAGCTGGGGAAACTGTTGCACAATGTAGCTGTAGATGGATTAGATGTGGGTTGTTGTTGATTCAAGTTTTGTTGGTGATGGCTTCTATTTCTCGATGTTAAGCACGATGATGTGCTTGTGCATTCTATAACTCTATATGTTGATATTTTATCTCAGGAAATTTTGGAAAATCATGAAATGAATAACGAACCACAGAAGGGAAAATGATGCACAGAAAATTGAATTCGAAAATGGGATTTTAGGTAAATAAATTATTAGACTTTCTAAAATTCAGATTTTCTATGACTTGATTTGATCGACTCATGCTGTAATGTTTTCGAATTTTCTTGAAATTTTCTTCCAACTTCTCTGTAAATATGTTTTTCTGCTTGTCCTGAAGTTTTCTTGAATCTTAAAAAATTATTTAATTTTACTGACGTGAATGTGTCTGCTCTGAAATTTTCGGAAATTTGCAACTCTCCTGAAACCCTTTATTCTGCTCTTAATTTGATTGAACTGAACTAAAAAATCCCTAAACGTCCGTTCCTGATGTTCATTTAACTAACTGATGCAATTTATTAATTAATTATAAAAGGAAATTTATTTGAATAGTTGCAGTTTAAAACACAGAGCGAGTGACTATTTTCAATAGGGCTAAACATTGTTCATTTTTTGTTTAATTCTAGAGGATCATATAATATGAGCTCTTAAAGGTGATCCAAAATACGTTAAGCTCAAAGAAACTTATCCTGAATAATGAATTTATATTTTTGAACTTGATAACGGTCCAATCATGGGCTACAGTACTATGATAAGACCTAAATTGTTATTGTTGCTTGAGTACAGGGATGCCAGATTTGACGACATGTCTTCATTTTGAAGACATTTGAAATGCTGTTAAGATTTTGTTGTTGTTGGGTTGGGTATAGAAGAGTTGCAGACGCTGACAGTAGGTAAGTTAGTCAAACGCGCAGTCTTATCAAGTAGATTTGAGGAAATACCTCAAGTCCCTTCATCCATTAATGTATGAGCTAGTTAAAAGAGTGTGTGGTTGACTAGTACTGTCGCATTAATGGCCCTTCGCTATTTTTTTTGTTCATTAATTGATGTTATTTATATATTAATGAATAATGATGATCTTTTTTACATCAATGTGTATCAAATAGTTATCGTTTGTCCTTAATTAAAAATAACTTACGCCTGACATTATTCAATATCCAAAAGATCATAATTAAAGCATACACAATAAGGCTTCTCTATTCGGAATCAAGGATTAATCAATATGTTTTTGTAGTTGCTTTGATTACTCCCTTCTAATAAGCTGTTAGAAATGACAATTTAGTGTAATTTTTTAAATGCGGTTCAACATCCTGGATTGAACAGGCAAAAGTACAATTAGTCCTGATTAAAACACGAAAACATCATCACAAATTATCGTTATTTTACAATCAACGATAAAGTTAATGAACTGATGGCTAAAATTCTCTAAAAACCTCGGCCACTTCTATTTTTCTAAATCAAAACGCACACTGGCAGACAGTTTGGCCAGTCTTTTAGGAGGAAAGGTTACAGGTAATAAAGGTTCCTAATTCTACAATTATTCGGTTGCAACCTTTTCGGTTGCCATCCAATTAACGGATGATCTAACAATCCCGACGATAGATCTTCTCCATAATTTTGAAGAACAGTTTGTGCGGAATTCCTCTGGAAATTTGCTGAATGTGCGTTTTAATCATGTTGTACGATTCTTCCTCATAGATGGCGGCATAGGTCGTCGGAAGGCCCAGCTCTTCGTATAGCTTCTTCTTCGGGATACCATCTCCGGGTCACTGGATCCGTAGCTCTGTTTCATAAATTCCTTCTGGTCATCGGAAGCGCGTTGCATTGCTACGACGGACAGCCAAGTACATTTACCTTCCTCGATGTCGGTACCGATCTTACCGGTAACAGCTGGATCACCGAAGCAGTCCAGGAAGTCATCCTGAGTCTGATAGACAAGACCAATCTCCAGCAGAATGGTTTTGGTCTGGCGGAATACTTCCATATCGGTGAAACCAGTCATGTGCATGGCAGGCCACCGGGAGGTAGAACGTGTAGTAGGCAGCCTTATGACAAACGATGGATTTGCACAGATCCATCGTGTATTTCGTGACATCCATTCTGGCCGATCAGAGATCCAACGATTGTCCGATGGTTGTGATGAATTTAATTTCATTAAACAATTCCACCAATTTGGTGTAGTATCGATCATCAGGGCATCGTTGATACCCAAAAGTTTAACGTCCTCCAGTTTACACCAACATGGCTGAGCACGGCGAGTCTGACTGCCATCCATTGCTTCATCACAAATAAGGAACACCGATTGGAACATTTCAATACAACAAGAGTCAGATCTTTACTCTTGGACAGCATCCGGTAAGCCAATACGGCAGTTAGACCACGGTTTTTCTTACCCTGCGGTACATTTTACTGCAAGGCCCGGACGAACCACTTGGGGGCCAATGTGTTGTCGTATTTCTTAGAATACTCAGTCAAATCACGGACTAGATCGGGAAAGAAGGCCATAAACTCACGGCTCTCGCTTTTGGTGACGGCAGTTTGTGTGGCCGCTTCAGATACCGAGTTGTTGAGGGTGGATAATGTCCTCGATACTTTCTTCAGTCTAAGCTGCATCTTGCTATTGTAGTCACGGCTGATTTTCTGGTTCTGGTTCTCTCGCATGGTCATGTAATCTTAGTTCACTGCTCTTTGAGATGGCCCGGTCATGCTGGATCTGAACGCGAGTCTCTGTCGACCGTGCCAGCTGACGGCCGATGGTCTGCAGGGGGGCAGCTTTAATCAATGTGGACAATATATTTCTCAATTTATACAACAATTTTCGCAATCCGCTTTCTCAAAAGTTGTTCATTCACGACACGAGGCTATCTACAAAAATTGTTCCCAATTTTTTAACAAACTCCTTCACTCATACTACTTTCTATAGGTCTCTCACCTTAGAGACAGAAACGGGTTTGCTGGCTATGATTGACACCTTCGTTTAACACTCTTCTTTTCTCTGGCAAAATTGGTCTTTTGATCAATTGAGTACACTGAAACCTGCTTTATAGGTGAGGTCGAACCACACAGTAAAATCTGCGACTTTTCGTAATGACGAGTTGAAACAACTGTGTTTCCATTTTTTCTATTCCATTTTCACACTGCCGTACTCTTATGGAACTATAATCTATTCTCTTCAGAACTTTCTCTAGCTAATAAATTATCGCATTAAATCTTCATGTTGATATTAGAATAGCATTTCCACCCAACTATATCAAAATAGAGTTAAAAATTTGTTGTCCATATCTTCATTTTCATAGCAACAAATCTACACTTGTCTGCTTGAAATTGGAAAAAAAACCTTAACAAACCTTTTAAATTCCAATATATCTAACTAATAAATTATCGCACTCAATCTTCATGTTGATATTAGAATAGTCCTTCTTGTTGATGATTATCAATACTGTAAATAATGTATTGGAAAATATCTACACTTTACTGAAATCTTCGATTAGCTGGAGATTTTCCTAATACTTTCTGATCAACCTGCAGTCTTGGAAAAATATTTTAAAGATGTCATTTGTATTTTCTAACGGTTGGATATCTGCAGAACTTGCAAAGGAAATATGGATTTCGGTAAAATTTACCGAACTCTCAACAGCTGAACTGTTCGGCTAAATCGAAGCAGTTCAATTTAATTGCTTTAAAGCAAGACCCATCAACTCATGAACCGGGGATTAACGGCTTTACTTACCTTCCGAAGGAAGGCGTGATCAGAGATTTTATGCCTCAGAAAATCCAGGCGGCGCCAACCGGGATTGAACACAGGCCTTTTGGGGTGAGAGGCAACCACGCTTACCACTACACCACCGGCGCCGCTCTGGCTGCAAAGTTCACGCATCGTTGGCCGTTGTCGTTCGATACGACATGCAGGCTGTTTGGGCCAATTGCCGGTCTATACATGGCCGATGACGATTTTGACGTCCCGTTGCAAACAGCCGTCGTACACCTACTCCAGCTGCGCATAGAACGTTTCTTTCTCGTCTTCGGGTCTCCCTTCGTGTGGGCAGTGCACGTTGATGATGCTGTAGTTGAAGAAACGGCCCTTAATCCTCAACTTGCACATCCTCGCGTTGATGGGCTGCCAACCAATCATGCGTTGGCGCATCTTACCCAGCACTTAAAACCCGATTTCCAACCCGTTGATGGTGCCACAGCTCTGGAAGAAAGTAGCCGCTTGATGCCCGCTTTTCCATACCTTTTGTCCCGTCCAGCAAAGTTCCTACAGTGCTACGACTTTGAAGTTGCGTGGTTGAAGTTCGTCATAGGTTGACCTATGGCAGCCCGGGATTTGCAATTCTATGTTCCGAGTTTCCAATCGTAGTCCTTATTTCGTTGCGTAGGTCTGTGCCGATTGTTCCGATCCGTATTTCTTTCTTCAGTATTTGCAACTTTATGTGGCCAAATCGCAACCAGCTACTTCCCGAGTAGGGAGATTACGGCTAACTTAGGGTTGGATAAACCTAAAAATGCTCTGTTATCGTCATCCCTGACATTAGTGACTTATAAACAATAGTGCATAAGCGACAACGATGCTCCCCCGTTCTTGTTCGCATTACTGACTGCAAATAGCACTGCCAGCAACCCCACCGAGCACCGC